GGGGGGAGTTAGGCAGGCGCAACAGCCACAACGACGACCACCTGCCCGGGTAAAGCCAGCCAACTCAGCTCAGCCAAAAGACGTACCACCGCGAATACCGTAACCAGAAGCCATTGTAACGCTAGTTGTGGCGGAGATCTCCCAGATCAAAAAGTGGTGGGCAGCCGGGAGGGGGATATATTGGAGAGCAGGTTCAACATGCAGTGCAGGTCGGCGCTAAGCCTAAAGCGAAAAAAAAGGCGGCGGCCACCTCAGCATCACGAAACAACGACCATCGCCCATCGACCATCCACCACGGCGTTGAAATATCATCTGGGCGATGGAAAAGGCTCGCCATGGCAGACTTGCGGGGGCTGTCGAAGGCCCATGTCATCCTGCTGGCCACGCATATCTGTGCTGCGGGCAATCTTGCTAGTTTGCCGTTGTTACAGGCCCGCTTCCCTACCACGCTGCCCGCGGAGCGGCTCTTGCGGATTATCCTCACCTTCCTACCAGAGAGTACGGCGCCCCAACACTACACCCCGGTGGTGGAGCAGATTGTTTACGGCACGCAGTCTGTGGACGCCGGTGTGCAGGTTGATGTGTCGCCGGTGAAGGGGTTGTCGGAGGCGGCGGCGAGGAAACGTGTGCGGAAGCTCCGTCTGCGACCGCTGAGATACGACGACGACGACGACGACGACGACGACGAAGAGGACGAGGGAAACAGAGATAATAAAGATAATGATGATAAGCTGTTGACGTGGTTTCTCATTCACCGAGCAAACAGGATTGATTCGGAGACCGGCCTGCAGCCGCTGATTCTCGACCTCCTGCTTCCCTTCTATCAGCGCTTGTCGACGATTCGGACCTGGTTGGTTTCCAGTCTTCTGCCGCTGTTGCGTCTCAACTACGAATACTACCCGGGGAGGGAGGCGTCGCTCTCGCTAGACGTCTTGGAGTTGATGGACGGCCACACGGCCATCAACGTGCTATTGTCTATGACCGGGGGGGACGCCCACAAAAATAATACCATGGATTTGGTCCAGAATCTGCGGGGATTGGTCGGCTCCTGGATCTACGGGAGCAATCGGACAAAGCGCCGCAAGCTCAATGAGGCCGCGGAGCGCAATTCTATCGCCCTCGTGATGACGGACGAGGTCGGCTCCCAACGGGCGTCGGGCTGGCAGTACGTCAACGAATGGCTTCTCGCTCGCAGTCTGGTCGACCGGGAGAGTGTCGTATCGGCGTTCACCAACTGGCAGGGTCCTGAAGACGTCGATCTGGGCGGTTATGCCGAGGCAAACGAGTCGCTCTCGGAAGGAGATCGAGTCCGGCTGAGACAGCGGTATGCCCAGTCCGCTCTGGCGAGCATCTACGCCAACCCGGAATCTTCCCAGTCGGCCCTTGCAGGGTCGGTCCAGGTGCTCGCCAAGATTGCCGGCCTTGTCGGCCTTCAAGACTCGGTGTCTCTCTCCCTTGACGACCAAGGACTGCCGCTTCGCATCAAGTTCGAGGCTGGTCCAATCTCCGCAACGTCGAGAGCCTCCCTGCTGCAGAACGCATTGCTGGTCTCTTCCAACCCGCTGACCTGGCCTTCTGCGCCTGCAGTCGCCTTCCTCGGCGGTGTACTGCAGTCTGCCCAGATCTTGGATGAGCTGGGCCATCCCATTCCATGCAGGACGGCAGCTGGTGTGTGTCTCCACGGGCACGAGGATCTGCAGTTATTGGAGCTGAAAAACGTCATCTCGTCCATCACTCAGAATACTCGGTCTCGCCGTGACTGGACGAAAGTCCGCCAGCAGCTGCTCTGGCTTCGAGACTGGCAGACTCTCGCTGACCAAGACCGACCGGCATACCATGGTCTTTTCTGGCGGGTCCCTCGGCAGACGGTCGAAGCGGAGATTCTCAAAGCCATGTTGGCAGCCAAGGGTATTCCTTCCCCCTTTTCTATATATCTGTGTATCCAAATTAAGGCTGACATGTGACATCTAGAATATCAATTGGCAGCGGATATCTACACGAAGGCTCATGCCCCCATCAACCTGGAGCAGGTGGAGACCGCTGTCGAGGACTCTATCTTCGAAGCCTATGACAATGCGAGTAATGGCAACCGAACTCGGGGAGGGATGAAACGGGCATACGAGATGTAGGAATAGGCTTCTCGTCAAATCTGGACATGTGAAGAGATAACTAATCGACAGACTTCAAACGTTTGAACCGCACTTCCCCGAATCTGCCAATTTCAAGCAGATCCGCACTCTCATCGCCGCGACGCATGCGCTGTCCTTTTACTCGCTGACCCTGCAGCACGGCGTGCCCTTCCAACCGGTCAGCATCCGCGTGCACGCGGACCCGATCTCTCTGATCGAAAAAGTACTGGACCAGAACCCCAAGAGCTACACGAAACTAGACGACCTCCTCTCCATCGGACGCAACCTGGTCGCAGGCCTGGGAACCCAGCGTGCAGACACGGCGGATCAAGCCACCGTCACTGCCGAGCGACGCATCATCGCTCTCGCCATCTCGGCCGCCCTTGCCGCCCACGACTTTGGCACCGCCTACTCGTATATCCTCACACGGATGACGCCGCCTTCGTCCTTCTCTCCGACCGTCGGCGACGGCGTTTCCGACGACATCTCCTGGCGCGCAGTCTACCAAGCCGGTCGGTACCGGTCCCCGCCCACGACCGGTCCCCCGCCCTCGCTCGACGGACAAATCACCCAGCTCTCACAGCGGATGGAGCTGCTCTCGCTTGCCCTTGTGCTCAGTCCCTCGCCGGATCCCTTGCCGGAAATCCTGGGCGCCTGGCGCCGATGTGATGAGGAACTTGCCGTGCTCCGCGCCCGCGAGGCCGACGAGGCCGAACTCTGGGATCGAAAGGGAGACATCTCTTCTTCTTCTTCTTCTTCTGTGCCGGGCGGGTTCGGCCCGACAGACACCGAACAGGACGCCTTCGATACGGCGCGCCAACGGGCACGAAGAGCACGACTACGTGCGTACGAGGGCGGGGGGGAGGCACCGATGGGACTCTTCGATGTAGCGAGGGGGGCAGCCCGGGCGTTCAGAAGTAACATCTCTCCATCTACTACTTCTGCTGTTCCTGCTACTACTACTGCTACTGCTGCTACTGCTGATGCTACTTCTACTGCCGATGGCGAACGGGTCCGCAAACGCGACATGGTGAGCAATATGGTGACGGGGGGTCTAGCGAGTGGGATTGGATGGGTATTAGGCGCTCAGCCTGTGGACAGAAGCCAGCTATAGTTAATATTTAAATTACATCTTATCATACAGATCTTGTATCCTGTATATCTAGAGACCACTATCGATGACTGCTCACCCGTCTCGCCACAGCAGTCCACCTAGATTCATGAGAATGAGAATGAGAATGAGAATGAGAAGAAGAAGCCCGGTCCGAATACCACGTCACTGGTCTGTGCTGACTCCTCGGCGACCGGATGGATATATTCTCCTCGTACGGCGGGGGGGGATCGTCGGATTCGCTTTCGCTTCTATATTCTCGTTCGTATGCTCGTTCCTGGGCGCTGGATGGGCCTGCCCATGAAGCGGGGCGGGCTTGGCCGATCGGGATATTCAGATATTGACTTTGTTGTTGTTGACTTCTTGGTTGACTTTGTTGATTCGCAAGTCTTGGATTCGGAAGTTGTTGTCTTTGATGACACCGACATGCACATTCGTTCCACTCCGGTCTTGGTCTCGTCCAGACCTGTCTATCCGGTTCCCAGAGAAGAGTGTCGAGACTCGCAGGTGTAGAAATAGTGGGTTGGTTGGTTCTGCTTCTGCTTCTGCTTCTGGGGGCGAAAACATTGGCGGGGGGGCCTTCGAGGGAGGAGAGGTCCATTGATGATAGAGATATAGATATAGAGATGATATAAAGATGATATAGATATGATATAGATATAGAGAGATCGAGATGATATTGATATAGAGATAGAAGTGTGGTAGAACAAAATACTGGATATAAATAACTGATCCGGGCAGTGCTGTCAGCATCCATCCTGACCGCGTCACTGCCAGTGCGCAGCGCAGTACGATGTCAGATTATGGACTATAGATATTATTAGATACAGTAATTACTTTAGTAGAAGAAGAGCAGCATAATTAGAATATAAAAGGATAATACACAGTAAGAAGATAATAAGGGTAAATCAATATCAAATAAAATCTCAGATAGCACTGCCACGGCAATACCTAGTGAAAGCGCACTGCAATAGAAGCTCATCTGATTAAGTTATGTACTCTGTACATCCTGTTGCCAGGGGGCAGCCGAAGCTGCAGAAAGAAATATTTTCGAATCTACAATCCATCATCCATCAAAAACCACTATTTCATCCTGCAATCCGTACTCAATTCCCAACTGTTTAAGCCAGGATCAGGGCGGCGGCGGCGGCAGCACCGGCGAAGATGAAGGAGCCACCGATGGAGGAAGCAGCACCGGTGTACACGGGGACGGAAGACGAGGAGGAGGCACTGTCTATCAGCAGGGTTCTTTTTTTTTTTTTTTTTTTTTTTCTCTCTGGCTAAGCATCAAGGGGTAGTAGTATCAAGGGACTTACGTTCCGTTGCTGCTGGCAGGGGTAGAGCTACCGATGGCAGCGACACCGGTGGGAACACCGCTGGAGGAGGGAGTGGCGGTAGGAGTCAGGGTGATGGTCGAGTAGGTGACGGTGGGCACGCAGGTGGTGACGGCGATGACGGAGATGCTGACACCAGAGCCAGAGCCAGAGCCAGAGCCAGAGGTGCCGACGGCACCGACACCGCTGGGAACGGAGGCAGGGGCAGAAGAAGCATGGGCCGAGGCGACAGGCACCGAGGCAACAGAGGTCTCAACGGGGGAGACGCCGTTGGGGGCAGAAGCACCGGAAGTCACGGCGGCGGCAGGGACAGTGGCAGCGTGGCTGCTGGCCGGGCAGTCGGTGACGGAGGGGCCGCAGGAGGTGATGGTCACATCCAGGGTCTCGTAGACGGTCTGGACGTCGGCGTTGGGCAGGGCAACGGCCAGGCCGGCGAAGAGGGCAGCGGTGAAGGTAGCGAAACGCATTGTGAAGTAGAGTACTCGAGTGTATGTAGTAGATAGTAGAGTTGAAGTGTGTAGTAGAGTAGTAGAACCGTCAAGGTCTAGAGAGAGAGATAGAGAGAGCGTTGGTAGTTGGTTGAATGAGTGGATGACCGAAGTCGAAGCGTCAAGCGTTGCAGGAAGAAGTTCTGGACTTGGGGAGGGGAAGGAGAACAAGTGAGAGCGAGGGCGGGAGCCTTTGCCTTTGTATATGGCGCGAGATTACGCTGGCGATCAAAGGGGGAGCGGTCTTGGTATGGAGACTGACCGTACCAGTACTATCAGTAGGTTAGTACCTAGGTCTACTAGGTAGGTACTCTAGATTACTGACGTATTACTAGGTATTATTGAGGATCTTATTAAGTTCTACTTTAATCTCCTACCTAGCCTATCAGTAATGGTACTACCATACTCTATTACTATCTAGTTTTTTTTGATTTATATCCTAGTATCTAATTATAGAGAATAGAGAATAGAGAATAAAGAATAGAGAATAAAGAATAGAGAATAGAGAATAGAGAATAGAGAATAGAGAATAGAGAATGAAGAATAGAATATAGAGAATAGATAGATAACTACATCTACCTGCAATCAAGGTAGTAACTATGTACCTACTCCTTCATACTAACTACCTACTCCTTCAGGTACCTATGGACTCCGTACCTGTAATACTTTAAGCTACCAAGTCCAACGTTGTTTCAGCCACGCCCCTGATTCATCTGTGCCTGGCGCTAGCCCCACCCTCGAGCCAATCACCCCGCAGAGGGCCCCATAGTGGATCCCAGGCGCGGCAGGCGACTTGGCAACGCAATGAGGTCAGTACCCTGTATTGCCCCATACGATGGTAATTAATTCCCACGGGACACAATGATTGGCCAGCTCATTTTGAGTCAATTTATATCAGGCAGTGGCTGTGGGCCATGATTCTTCAGGTACACACGTTGATTGGAGTTCAGCCACATCTCGGTAAGGTAGTACTCCGTAGGTACCTCCTACTACCTACTAGGTACCTAATTAGTAGTACTCCGTAGGTACCTAGGTAGGTTACTACTAGTTAACTAGTTACTAGTTAACTATGGAGTAACGGTAAGACTTCTTGGTAGTCTACTGTTAGCTGGTCGGTAGTCTATAGTATGTAGTACACATTCGGTAGTGATCGGTCCCCCTGATTAGAAAACAACAGATACTAATAGGAACCTGACAAGAAAGCAAAAGGAGCAAGTCGACTGAACTCTGACTATCGATTTATAGACTGTTCTATTCTTGTCGACATAGACCCTGCCCAGAGTATACTACTATCTACTTGATCTAACTCGATAGTGTACTCGTAATAGTTCTAGTTCCGTAGATGTACGGAGTAGTACGGAGTACGCAGTGTCGAGTTTATCCATAAGACTACTCGAGTACGCAAGAATATGTCGTAACTACTTCGTAACTATACTCGGAGCACTTACTAGGTACGTTCTCCGAGTCCTACAGAGTTTGAAGATCTGCTGTTGAATATGTAATGCAGCGCGTGCTCGGGCCTGCACTACATCGTACATCGTACATACTGCAGATCGCCGACGCGTGTCTCACAGCGGTAGATGAGGGGAACTCAAGTCGGGAAAAATCGGTTAAGAACATTCTCTGTTATGGTCAAGGGGAAACACCATGCTAGCCAAACTTCTTCTGAGCTGATGTCCTGTAGTCACTCACTCCATCACTAGTTGTAGAGTACAGCATCTAGTTAGTAGTTACTAAGACTCATATAAAACCAAGGTACTGCGTACCTCGGCGGAAAACATGGATCATGCTGATTCGATTCTGATTCCGATTTACTATCTCACTGATCCCTGCCAGTCTGAATCGGATATTCACTGGCAGATCTCACTCGTTGTTGCATGATGTCAATACGTTTCAGGATTATCCTTGGTGGGGGTGCCGGCGCTTCAGTGCTTCACAAGGCTGAATCTCGATGAGAGTCAGCAGAATCCCGAGAGACAAAGGTAATTATGTAGTGATCGAGACAAATCCCTCAAGCATCTTCTGTAGCTCTACTCTGTCTGCATAGTAAATGGGATAATCTAGTGTGGTCTGAGGCAGAGATAGGAGTATCATATCGGGAGCATATCCCACGCTAAACAGATCTCAAATCATCCACAACCATTAGCTATTGGAATAGAGACACGACCCAGGCAGCATCCAGCCAGTATCCAGCCAGTATCCAGCCAGTGATATCGGATATACGGAGTAGAAAATACCTTGAAGCCTCGTCGATGAACGGTCGTTCAGCCCCAGCCAACAAACAAAGGCCCAACAAACACACCTCGTCCGGCGCTTCGCCTGGCGCTTGCAGCCTCGCGAATAAACTCATCCATGCTTCTTCCAGTAGAAACATCCTCTGTAGCACCTCCCCAATTCACTCAGGAAGCCATTACTCGCCCAGTGGTCGTGTGGTTGCTGTTGTTGGTGTTGGTGTTGGTGTTGGTGTTGGCTGATCCCACAGCCTGCTCGGCTTTCTCTGGTCGATTTTCCCCTCCGCGAAGCTCCCCCGACCGCTCGACTTTCTCCGCCCTCAACGTCTCTGCCTGCTGTGAAAGAACCTGCCTCGTCCCCTCCCCCCCCCCCTCCCTTCCATCCATTCATCCATCTAATTCTCACTCTCGCTATCCCATCCATCTAAGAGAAAATAAAATCTATCTGGTTTAGAGCTCTTCCTCGAGTTCTGCCTGACTTTCGTTGACCCCGCCCTTCCCCCCCTCCTCCTCTCTGTTTCCCTGTTCTGTCGGCCTCGACGGTCGACAGGCGACGAGCTGGCGACGCTGGCGGACCCCAACGAGCTGTTTCTGCCTGGTGAGAGGCAGAAAGATCTCACCTCCACGAATCCGATGTCCTCGTCTTCTTCCACCATCACGACGACGACGACACCTGCGCCCCCCGTTCCTCTGCTTCGGCCACCCATCCCCGGTGCGCGCAGCAACAGTGGCTCGCGAGCGCCCAAACTGACTCTGGGCATCCCTTCACCCAACAACAAACCCGCTATTGGCAATGGCGTGACTGGCGGCATCCCCGAACTGCAGCGGCCAAAGCCGCCGCAGTTGCGGTTAGCCACCCCGATGGGCGGCAGTCAGGAGTCGCTAGGAAGACCGGCTCTTCAGCCGCTGGCCACCTCCGACCTCAACAACCACCACCATACCATCACCTCCCAGTCACGCTCAGGCAGCTCCTCCATGCGCGATGGCAAAGCCAGCGGACCCGCCTCGGCTTCCTCTTCCACTTATTCGGCCCTCTCCTTCGCCATGCCGGGCCTTCGCCAGCCCCACGGCAGCACTCCAGACCCCTCCTCCGCCATCAGCTCCGTCTACTCGGACCGTGAAGGTGGCGTCTCCATGGAGCGTGACAACAGCATGAATGGCCTGCTACCGGACCTGGACAGGCTGAGCCTCGAGAAGGGCCGTCCCCTCGACGTCGAGGACCTCGACGACGAGGGTTGGCTGGCCGCCAGCGAGCAGAAGAAGATCGTTGAACTCGGCAGCCTCGGCGAGGGCGCGGGTGGCGCCGTCACCCGCTGTACTCTCAAAGGTGGAAAGACCGTTTTTGCCTTGAAGGTATGCTGTAGTTCTTCTAAAGTTACCACCAAGCCACCATGTTACCAAATTAACATCTATTAGATCATCACGACAGACCCCAATCCAGACGTCAAAAAGCAGATTGTTCGCGAGCTTAACTTCAACAAAGACTGTGCCTCGGAGCATATCTGCCGGTACTACGGCGCTTTCATGGACAAGTCGACTGGCACTATTTCCATCGCGATGGAGCTGTGCGAGGGTGGAAGCCTCGACAGCATCTACAAGGAGGTCAAGAAGCTTGGCGGTCGCACCGGCGAGAAGGTCCTGGGCAAGGTTGCCGAGGGCGTGCTCAACGGCCTGACCTATCTACACAGCCGGAAGATCATCCATCGGGGTACGTATAGTTTTTTTTGTATTTTTAGTTTGATGTGATCTAACGACCCCAGACATCAAACCGTCGAATATCCTGCTCTGCCGCAACGGGCAGGTCAAGCTTTGTGATTTCGGTGTCAGCGGCGAGTTCGGCACCAAGGGTGACGCCAACACCTTCATCGGCACCTCGTACTACATGGCCCCGGAGCGCATCACGGGCCAATCCTACACCATCACCTCGGACGTCTGGTCGCTCGGCGTCAGCCTGCTCGAGGTCGCGCAGCATCGCTTCCCTTTTCCCGCCGACGGCACCGAGATGCAGCCGCGCGCAGGCTTAATAGACCTGTTGACCTACATTGTCCGGCAGCCCATTCCTAAACTCAAAGACGAGCCGGACAACAACATTCGCTGGTCGGAGAACTTTAAGTATTTCATCGAGTGTTGGTAAGTTTCTCTCTCTCTCTCTCTCTCTCTCTCTCTCTACTCTGTCTAACAACTCAGCCTCGAGAAAGAACCTCCCCGACGAGCCAGTCCCTGGCGCATGCTCGAGCATCCCTGGATGCTGGACATGAAAAACCGAAAAGTCAACATGGCTGCTTTTGTGAGGCAGGTCTGGGGGTGGACCGATTAGCCTCTTTTTTTTTTTTTCTCTCTCTTTCTTCTTTCTTCCTCATCTTCTTTCTTTTCTTTGTCTCTTATCTCGGCTGGTCCGATCACGACGTTCCTTGCGCTTAGCCTGTCATCGTCATCTGGAGTTGGGACCTTGGAATCTTCTTTGAACTCGTTCGTTCCTTTACGCCCAGCAGCAAGCAGACAGTGCCATTTTCCTGGTATCATGGTATATATGGTAGCATCATCAAAATCTTAGACTTGCATCTATATCGAGAATTGTACAGTAGAACAGTAGAACAATAGAATAGTCGTAACTATCCAGAGAGTAATCATTCCAAGGAACCTCATCTACTTAAGATTACAGAAAAGTCTACTCAAGTAAAAACCGTGGATATCTAAACCTATATAACGCCGAGATCCACCTGAATATGCCGCTCTGAATGCGGGAGAGAGGTCTATGCACTGACCATATAGATCTAGTCAAAGCAAAGGAAAGGGAGAAAGAGAAAGAGAAAAGGGGAAAAGAAGAAAAAAAAAAAAAAAAAAAAAAAGGAAGCCTAGAATGGGAACCCTCCGGCGGAGAATCCCCCTCGAGAACCGAACGGATTCCCGCCTGCCTGCTGGAACCCACCGCCGCCGCCGCCGCCGTTCATCATGTTGAAAAGGATGTTGGGGTCGATGTTGATGTGCGTGGCGCCGCCCATACCGCCCATACCGCCCATGCCTCCCATGCCTCCCATGCCGCCGAAGCCGCCGCGGCCAAACATTTCAGAGGGATCGATGAGGTCGTCGCCATTGTCATATGCGGCGCGTTTCCTGATGGTCAGCATAAGTTCTATAGATTCAGTATATATATGAAGGGGGGGGGGGGGGGAAAACGTACTGAGGATCAATGAGGGTTTCGTAGGCTTCTCCAATCTCCTTGAATTTCTCATCGCCGGCTTCGCCGTCACGGTTTTTGTCAGGATGGTATTGGATGGCCAGCTTGCGGTAGGCCTTTTTGATTTCGTTTTCGGAGGCGTCCTTGCCGACGCCGAGGATCTTGTAGTAGTCCTTGCGCTGGGCCTTTTTGAGCTCGAACTCTGCGCGGCGCACATCCTCCTGGATGCCCTTCTCGGTGGGGTTGGCCTCGGCGACGGCGCGGTAGTCGTTAAGGGCGTCGTCCCAGCGGCCGGCGCCGGCGTGGGCCTTGGCACGCATCTTCTGGGCCTTGAGGTAGGTACGGTCGAGGCGCAGGGCCTCGTCGCAGTCGGCGACGGCGCGGTCGTAGTCCTGCAGTTGGATGTGGGCCTGGGCGCGGTTCTGCAGGATCTTGGCGTTCTGGTCCTTGTTGGCCGGGTCGACGGCGAGGGCGGCGGTGTAGCGCTCGACGGCGCGAGGGTAGTCGCGGGCCTTGAAGGCGGCGTTGCCCTCCTCCTTGGTGCGGGTCAGCTTCTGGACGGTGCGCAGCATGGTCAGGGCGGGCTTCATGTCCGGGTCGAGGCCGAGGCAGAGGCGCAGCGACTTGAGGGCCTGCTCGGTGTCGCCGCGGGCGTAGAAGGCGCGGGCGCGGATGAGCAGGGCGTCCGGGTCCTGGCTGTTGTCCCGCAGGAGGCGCATGGCGATGTCCTGGGCCTTGGCCAGCGAGGTGTCCGAGGCCATGCGCAGGTGGGCATCGGCGGTCAGCAGGGACCAGGAGCGGGGTTCCTTGACGCCCTGGCCCAAGCCCTGGCGGGCCTGGTCGAGGCAGAAGAGGGCCATGGAGACGCCGCGCTCCTGGGCCAGGGTCTCACGGGCCTGCTCGACGAAGCGGCGCATCTTCTCGGCGGGGGCGCGGTCGGTGGCGGTGGCCGGCGGCTGGACACGGGCGAGCACATCGAGGGCGTCGGCGGGACGGCCCAGCCCCGTCAGGATGCGAGCCAGACGGTGTAGGATCTTAGGGTTGGCCGGGTCGAGTTCAAGGGCGCGTTCGGCATCGTGCAGAGCATCGAGGTAGCGGTTGGCGGCGAGGTTTGCAGCGGCGCGGTTGGACAGGTAGATGGAGGAATTCGGAACGATCTCGAGGGCTATCAACGTCAGAAAAAATTACATCTCATCTCCAGGGGGGGGGGGGAAGGCAAAAAGGAAAATAAAAGAGAAGACATACCCTTGTTGTATTCCTGGATGGCGCGGGGGTAGTCACCGCTCTTGAAAAATTTGTTGCCGGCCAACTTGAAGACATCGGCGTCTGCGGTCGCGGGGCTGGACCGGTGCGGTGGAGGGGTCGGACTACGAGCGTCCTGCTTCCGAGGTGTAGTCTGAGTCTGAGTCTGAGTCTGAGGCTGGTGGTCCCGGTCGAGATCCATAGCATCCTCGCGGGCGGCCATGGCGGAGAGACGACGCAGCTCGTCAGGAGGCAGGTTCAACGGGTGCAGATCCGGGTCGGAGGAACGTTTGGAGAGGCGCTTGGACAAGCGTTTGGACAGGCTGGTGGCGGGAGACGGCGAGACAGCAGGAGAGGAGGTGGCAGAGGTCGTGGTCTGGTCGAAGAAGGGACTGGCAGCCGCAGACTTCTTCCTGGGCGAAGTGGATGCTCGCCGGGGAGCTGCGTGGGGAGGGTGGCGGTCGTGGATCGGGTCTTTGTCTTTGGTCTTGGATTTGCTGAAGATGTGCGAGAGGACCATTGAGCTTGTTTCTTTTTTTTTTTTTTTTTTTTTGCTGTGACAAATGGTCCTGTTCTCCCTGGAAGAGACTTTCTCTCAGTCCAATGCGTGTTCTTCCAGACGCAGCAGCAGCAGCAGTAGTGTCTGCCTGTCAAGCGCTTGTCGAAGGCCAGCGAAGGCGGTGGAATCGATCAGAGGGGCATAGAGAGCTAAAAAGACAGACGGAGGAAAGGCTGGGAATCAGAACCGAGGGAGAGTCGGATGGACTGAGAAACCGGACGATGGAATCTGACAGCGACAGACGACAGAAGGGACTGGAGGAGAGAGAGAGAGAGAGAGAGAGAGGAAAAAAGGGGAGTTGGTGGTTGAAGTCACCTGTTCTAGTGCATATAATCACAGTGACTGGCAGTGGAGAGACAGATTACAGAGCATTAAAGGAAATAGAATGGAAATAGAATGGAAGTAGAATAAAATAGAGAATAAATTGATGGTCTCTATATTTATTTGAATCTTTATATATGAATAAATGTCCTATTATACTATGAATTGTGACCTGGAATAAGGCCTCAGGCATCTAGATACTAACATCATTCTTTCAAGATAATACTACGCATTAAACATCACTGAACCATCCTTAACCTGCAAGTCAACCTGCATTGCTCCCCTTTCCCCCCACCAGTCCCCATGGCCCTCCATCACATCTCTCTCTCCCTCCGCCCTTCCCTCTCCGTCCTTGGTGACCCGGAGCCCATCTCCATTCAAACAGATCGAGCCATGGACTGCCGAGGCATGGACTTGACCCGCCCAGCTAGACGGATAGGCGATGTACAGACTGCCATGACGGCTGGAATGAGACGCAGTGATTTCGTAGTCGTCGTCGTCGTCGTTGTCGTCGTTGATCGGTTCTTTCAATCGAATGTTCTGGCTACCAGTCTCTGTATGGCTGTAAATAGAGACATTCCCCGGATACACGACCGGCGTCACCGAGACGGTGATACTCCCACGTTGAGATTCCAGAGACAACGAGGTCGAGAAGAGCAGTTTCCCAGTGATATGTCCCGTGGAGGTCTGGATCTCAACCTCGTACGGTCGCACGGGAACGGAAGCCTCGTCGACCCCGGCAAAGCTCACCGTCACACTTCCCGATTTCGTCCGGATCACAACTTTCGCAGGAGTATCTTCCTGCTCTGGCTCGGCTGGCTGCGGAGTGATGGTTACCACCACGTTGCCGCTCGTCGTGCTCAGAGAGAGCAGATCGTACAGCGGGAGATGACCCCAGATGGCGCGGTGGCCGTTGTCGATCACCACCTCGCGACTGATGGTGGCGTCTTCCAGCTCGATGTCTGCGATTTCTGTCCCGTTTGTATGCTTGCCATGATGACAGGAGAGCTACTTATCAGCAATGCTCTGAGAAAAAGAAAGATAACTAAGATAGGAAGACGAGTGTAGTACTAGACTTCTAAACCCCCACGATCCGATCATCCAAAACAAACACCCTACAAGGAGAACCTTGCCCAAGACAAACAGGAACAGGCGTCTCTTGCATCCTTTGCTCTTCAGGTTGCTTTGTCTGCCTTGGTTGGGTTCTTCGTAAGGGGGGGGAGCACTGTCCTGAACCTCGACGAGACTCAGGAGAGGCTTGTCTTCTGTGTCTTTATCCATGGAGTGATAGAGAGAGAGAGAGAGAGTAGATGAGTAGATAGATAGAGAGATAGAGAGAGATGAGTAGAGAGAGATGAGTAGATAGAGAGAGAGAGTAGATGATTAAAGTACAGGAGAGAGAGAGAGGGTATTCAGGCAACACAATTACTCTACAGGACGCCACAGATCAGCTTACTACATACTACCAACTCATGTACATCATAAGATTCATATCAACGCCCGCTAGACAACAACAGAAAAAAAAAAAAAAGAAAAAGAGACTAAATATACCCCAAATGGCTGAGGATCGTCCGACACTCGGGCGCCGCAATCGTTGACACTCCCAACGCCCGCACCTGCGATCCCTTGCGCAGCCGTTGCAGGCCGATGGCCACTTTCCACCCTTCGCTCTCCGGGAGCACAAAGACATATCGTTTGCCTTCCTGGTCTCGGAGGCTGGCTCGGACGACGTGGAGGCCGCGATGTTCGGCGTTCTAATCGTTAGCAAGATCAAAATAGCAAGATCAAAAAATGGTAGGTCGCCATACCTCGACAAGTTTCATGGTCCATGCTTTGACATCCCATTCGCGCTGCGGCACCCCCCGCACGTCGTCGTCGATGAAGAGGCCCTCGGTCGTGATGCGTAGGATCAGCCCGTCCGTCACAATGCCCTGGCCGGACACCAGCTGCGCGATCGCCGTCCGCTGGAACGCGTTGTTGAACGCGTACACACCCCGGATCACGATCTTGTCCGGGTCCTTGGTCGCATAGGGACCTTGCGTCGAGGGAGGTGGTGTCGTCCGCGCCGTCGACTGCGAGGGTGCATACGACGACTCCGAGTACACGGATGAGCCCGAGGTGCCTGCGTACGGTCGTCGTGGCCGGTCGTATGGGCGGAAGGAGTAGGCGTCGTCGTCTGTCGTCGTCTGGGCGCTGGGGAAGGGTGCCTTGGTCGGTGATGGAGTTCGTGGGATCGTCGGAGTTGCACTGCCTGTACTTCCAGCCGTGGCTGTAGCACGAACCCCTGGCGTAGCAGAAGCCGGACGGGCCGTCCCCGTCGAGCTGGACGTTCTTGTCGTGCCGCTCCTCACCGAAGACGCCGTCGTCGATGCTGCAGGCGCAGGCGTAGGCGTAGCAGCGGCCGCGGCTTTGGCTGCCGCTTCTTTAGCTGCTGCTTCTTTGGCCGCAGCCTCTTTGGCCGCAGCGACATCCTTGGCCTTCTTCTCCGCGTACTTCTTCGCCGCGGCCTCCTTGAGGGCCGCAAACTTGGCGTCGGCCTCGCGCTTAGCAGCCTCCTTCTCTGCCGCCTCCTTCTCCGCGGCTTCTCGTTCCTCACGCGCTTTGGCTTCGGCAGCTTCTCGTTCGGCACGGGCAAGGGCCTCTTCTGCTTCTCGTTTCGCCCGGGCTTCAGCCTCTTCTGCTTCTCGTTTCGCCCGGGCTTCGGCAGCCTCCTTCTCTGCTTTCTCCCGGGCCTCACGCTCGGCAGCCTCTCTGGCAGCCGCCATCTCCTTCTCGAGCTGCTCGCGCCGTTCCTTCAGCTCTTTCTCCATTGCCTCGCGGTCCCTTTGTTTCTGTTTCTCGCGTTGCTCGGCCTCGCGCTTCTTGCGGAACTCTTCCATCTTCTTGCGGAGATCCTCCTTCCGTTTCGCCTCATCGCGCGCCCTCTCCCATTCCGCATTGCTAGAGCTCTTGGGGTCTGGCCGAGGGGGAGGTGGTGCGCTCTTCGGTGGCGCTTCGGGTCCAGGTCGTGGTGGCGGAGACTCTGGCTGGGGAGGAGGAGGAGGAGGAGGAGGAGGAGGAGGAGG